CGAGGGCGAGATAGCGTATTGGTAAGCGAAGCGGTGGATTAGGAGGCAGGGCGATAAGCGGGATGTTTTGGTTCGATCCCCCTCCTCCATTACTCTCTCGCGATCAATCAGAGGAAACGTCACAGAGACCGCCTTGGCTCAGCGACATCGGAGATTGCGATCGGAATTATCTCTAGCTGCATTCTTTCAAATATGTATAGAATGCGAAAAAGTCAAGTAGCACACGAAGCAATATGCAAAACGTTCAAAAACCTAAGTTGGGGGTGAATGCGAGGAAACGAGAACGAAAGGGGCCACGATCGACTTGGGGTGGCGAATCCTTTGTAAAAACAAATTTAAACGGTACTCTGACTATGACGTCAGAATTATAATATAAACACTAATGAAATAAACATTACTGCGATGAGCGCAATAGACGGGGCAAAGCGAGCGGGTCCCCAGCAGAGGTGCGGACGAGTTTTCATGGCCACCCACGTCGTCGTCTTCAGAGAGTCGACTGACCAGTAATGGCTGCTACTTGTAAACGATTACTTTTGAGTCGTGTGTTTCCGAAGATACTGGGAAAAGAGGAGTAGGGTAATTTTTGGAGTGTAGAGAAAATTTAGAGTAACAAGTGGAAATGGCTTAAGATCACGATGATGACGACGAGAATGTCAGGTGTGGAAATGGTGGCTATTTGAGATGAACATCTCATTCTCTTTCACTCTATCAGTCATGATCAACTCAAATAGAACACTTTCCAATCGATATTCAATTGTAAACGCGCGGCGGCGAGAAAAAAGCGACCACTTATTGATCCTCAGGAAAAAATCGATATCGCTGCGAAGAAGCCGGCGGCGACAACGATGCGACGTCTTCGTAGGGCGTGCGATTTTCTGTACCAGTACTGTTTTAATAGTATTGAATACATAAGCTGACGCTAGTGGAGAGTGGTCTCACAGATTAAAAAAAATTTTTTTTCAAATTTTCAGCACACAACGCCTCCAAAATGATCCGTTCGAGCCTAAGCTCAAGCCTAAGCCTTTAGAAAATGATAGTACCACAACTTTACATACGGGTCTATAATTGGAAGGGTAGGAGAGGGTTCTAGTAAATCTAGTGCTCAACTATTTAAAGATAATATCTCATTATTAACGGCATAATATAATATAAAAATATATAAGCGGTATAATATTTGAAGATAATGTATATTATATCACAGAAAGTCACTGCGATATCCCCAATGGTGCACTGGTAAACACGCGCCCAGAAAAGGGTAAGATACGGGTTCAACCCCCGCAAGAAACTCAAAGTTATTGCATAACAATTAACATTCTTAGATATTCCAAGAATAGCACTGTTCAAAAGCGATAATACAGGAAGAAAAAAATGGCTCTGAGAGTTCCGTTTTTTAAGCGAAACATCACACCACTATATTTTCTGTCGTTCATGTTATTGACGATTTACGACGCAGTAGTCGACTTTCACATTTTATCCACGTGATTTTCTTTCGCAAATTTGCAAAATTTCATTGGTAGAGTATCTCTAAATTCATTGACTGTGACATTTCATGGTAATGTTATTTTTCGGGTTTTGATACGCCAGGAAACGTAACTTTCTTTGTTAAACTACATACAGAGAAAAAAATGTTGGCTAGTAAATAGAAGGTTAAGTTAACATTATATTGTATTGTACTAATGGTGTATACATGAGTTTCACTAGCGGATTCGCTGTTTTATTTGCGCAGGGAACGAAAGTCTACAAACCCTATCCTCTCGCCAACACGATCGACAATTCGAACGATCGTGGTTATAATGTCGACTTCTGTAGGATTCATTAGCATCATAAAAAATAGGTCGTAGTGAACGCTACAGGCAATAGATTGACAACCGTCCTCTGCCAAAGGTGGCATAGAAAGAAAGACGAGGTTTTCTCCTTCTCAAACCTCGTTAGACTGACTCCAGACAAATACAAAGATCCATGTTGTAAGCGTGGAAAGTTTGAGCGTTTGCATACAACAATCGACTCGAATCATTATGGATCTGAAGAAGGCGAAGGCGTCGACACTTCAAAGAGAGGCACAGAGTGTGTATGTATGTGGCAATATCTCAAAACTTTTCTGGCCGCTAAAATCTTGAGCCACTTGTCTGATGCTATGGGCTGACAATGAGTGTACTGTAATCATTATCTTTCGACAGACTGATTCTCAAACCTCGCTATAAACATTCAATATGTTTCAAGAGAACGTTTTTGAGCTTTTTCGAGGTTGATATGATAGTGGCTCACGAAAATGAAAAAAAAACCCGTCAATTGAAAGGCAGTGTCTACATGCTTAGTAACAGCCGTAAGCCATCTACGGAAACAATAATAAAGATCGCGCGATTTTGAATAAGCATGTTTCCCTGTCCCTATTGTCACTAGCTCATTCGATAAATTTTGGCACTAGAGAAGTAAACTTCAAACTCACCAACCAGAAGTAATTGAAATTATGTGATTCTGCTAGCGTTTAATTGCACATTTTCTTGCGAACATTTTGACATGCAACTTACCCATATTTGCTTTGAAATGGAGCTGTCATGGGAACGAATTCGCTTGCTACTGATGCACGAATGGCGCGTAGGGGAAAATGTTAGTGAAGTGGCGGTAAGATTAAACCATTGAGGACCAGCGTTAAAGGCAGGCGGAGTCGCGTCTTCGCTTGCGCGGCAGTCGCAGGAGGCGACATCTGCTTGTCTGCGCGTACACGTATGGCTGCCTGCGCCTGCTTTCCCATGCAAAACATTATCTTCTTCAATTATCAAAGCGTAATATGAAGGTCGAATCACTTAACGAACTTATTCCTAAAATCGTCACATTTCAAGCTATCGAATGACTACAAGAATATCAACTAAAAAAAAAAGCTGTACATCAGCTGGAATTATGCTTGTTTCATAGCGATGTGGTTTTCTCATTGAAACATAAGTAATATAGATGAAAAATGGAACATATAAATGTTCTTTTCACTAAAATTATCTAAGCCTTTTCAGTGAAATTCCATCATTTCATGATAACAATGTTTCCAAGAACCTGGGTTCGTCTCCTCGCATCCATTGTACCAAGCATCCTCAGATACGTAGGCACAGTGCACATCTGGCTGTTTACTCCTTCTTTACCCCGCGACGCGACGCCTCCACTACAGTAGCTGACTGGGATTTAACATCGCGCGGCGTGGTACGAAACGCACCGTTTGATCTTCAGAGGGTTAATGGAGGGCAGCCCGAGCGCGACTGATCCTAAACTGTTTTTTCCAGCTCTGAACTTCGCGAACCACTTCCTAGCCGTCTTTTCTGCAATCGCACCATCACCCCAAGCTCCATTAATCTTAGGAGCCACTTCATTAACATTTTTCCCTACCCGCGATTCGTTTATGAGTAGAAAGCGCGTTTGTCCCCAAGCTAGTTCCATCTTAGAATAAGTATAGGCAAGTTGTATACCGAAATGTTCGCAAGAGGATGGGCAATTCAATAAAGTCAAAACCATGCAGTTTTAATTACTTCTACATAATTAATTTGGTGTTTATTACTCGAGTGCCAAAACTTGTGAAACGACATAATAGTAGGGCCGACTAGTGGGGCGTATGAATCTAATGAGGCCGTCGAGACTACCTAAACGGTACGTAAGTCGGTGACATATCAGCCTCGAAAAGACTTAAAATTCTCTCAAATTATAATGTTTTGTAGTATCCAAAGATTCTACTATAAATGCAACTAGCTGGAATCAAGCGCGTTGTCACTAAACCAATTACCTTGCAAAAATGATAGCCATTTTGCAAATTCTTTTCATGCTACTAAAGAAGATCTATAGCTCTAAACGCGAAACAGTGCTAAATGCTACATTTTTAATTATATAGGGTTCAGTAGGGGTATGTGTAGATTATCATAAATGACACTTGAAAACGAACGTATGTGGTTGAGAAGATGCGGGGCAATGTCAAAACTAGCAAGTGTCGTTGTCTCAGCTACTAATGGGTGAGATCGAGCACTTTGTACTTCAATTAGTATCCAGTGATCATAACCTTTTAGACGTCATCACCGATAATTCAACACTGAGGTTGACGTCACGAGAACATCATAAGAACATGAAATTGGAATCTAAATTGCAAGAATGGATAGGATAGAGTGAGAATTCTCTCAAGTTCATCCTACCGATTAAGAACCATCCGAGCTGATTCACAATCCCAGAGATTTCTCGTCTAATTTTAGATATGAGAAACAAATTTTAAGGCAACCAGGATATTCTTTTATTTTTTAGTCAGTTCCAAAAAGCACCAATGTCAACAGCTTTGAGAGGTTCAATAATTTTACTCAACACTTGCAATATCGGTAATAAAACGAAATCTCGAAACTTTGAAGATAATGCTTGAAAATAGAGATCTCGAAGTTGATAAGCCAGGGCAAGATTTGGAAATCTGGGTAGCTCATCATTCTTTGAAGACACGCTGACCTGGACTTTCCCATACAAATTTGAACTGAAGAACACCTAGGAACAAAAGTCCACCGGTTTTTATTTCTAACGAACTTACAATAACTATCGCAGAATCTGCTTGGTGGTTGTCGTCTCAATGTTCATTACTTGAGTCATCGTCAACTGCAATGATACAACATTGTTGAGTCACTGTCGACGGTATTGACACGGGAATGGACCAAAGACTATAACATCATGAGTAAGCAAGGTTCTAAGAACAGAAGCGCATGGTTCACCTCTACGCCATCATGAAATTTTCAAAGTTCCACCAATAACATTATTTTGTGTTATTGCCACAGTTTCACAGGCGAAGACACATTCGGAAACAGGCGCACTTTTCGATAACTGCCTACAAATTTCCGGAAATTAAAGTTCGAGAAGTGAAGTCATTTATAGTAGTTTTTTTCTACGATTCTGACGACAGCTGTAAGATTACTGGTACTCTCTAAATCCAGATTTGTCTAATGTCGATTTTCAAAGAAGATATCCAATGATGTGGATTGGTGTGCAAAAATATCAGCGTCAGGTGGGATTTGAACCCACCTTTCACCCTATCAGGGAACGCGTGTTGGACCGTTGCACTACCGACGCCCGTCTTTGACACCAATCTTTCTATGCTACAACGGACCCCCGAAGAGGGTGAAATGTGGGTTTGAATCACACTTGACGCAAATGTTTTGCGCATCACTCTACATCATTGGCTATATTTTAACATCATGCCACCGCATATAAAATGAATTCTTCAAAAAAAAGGAACTTGAAAACGATTTCGAAACTTGCTGCACGGTTGGAAAGCATCATTAGTGCAGTGTATATCTATGGGAAGGGTATGACAGTGAAAAACTACTCAAAGGAGGTAAGTTCAAATGGTGGTGACCACTAGTCTGTGTACTAAGTTCATTGTGTGGTAACGGCTTGAGCTGTTATCCGACCACACATGCACGTAAAACGAAGGTTAGAGCTCTTGGCGCGCATCATTCCCTGAAAGAAGTGTCGTTTATTCGTCTTCAATTTTTAACTTGGTTCGAGGTGACTGAATGCATATCTGGCCCTTACAATGACTCGCGGTGACCCACTGCTGTATCGAGTCAATGCTGCCTATACTCCCAGAGAAGTTTGAGACCACTTTAATACCAAATCATTAGGTCTCCAACTAAGTTTGCGAACTTGATCCAGGAGATAAGAATTTCCCCACAAAAATAAATTTTTCTTTTACCTCTTTTGTGCGGAATTTTCTTGCTCTTCGTTTATAGGAAAAGGTGTCGTCTTTAAGAGTCAGTGTCGTCTAAATCAGTGTTTTTCACCACGTCAGCAGGGAACATCAACACCGAGACTGAATCGATTTGCGCCAGAAGCAATGTTGAATATGGACTTGTTGCAAGCCGGTCTGACCATCAACGCTGAGCGATATTGTTAGCAACTGGACCGGTGCAAACAAGCAATTCCACGTCACCGCCGTCGCCATGTCATTTTGCTTCAAGACAATACAAATCCACACGTTGCCAAGGAAGCAAGGAAGGAGTTGACCGATTTGAGGTGGGAGCACTTGGGTCATTCGCCGTATTCGGCAGAACTGTCTCCGTCCGATTCTCATCTCTTCAGGTCACTGGAGCACTGGTTGAACATGAAGAAGTTTGAGACAATAATCATTTGCGTCGAGAATTGACTGGTTGGTTTCCATCGAAAAATAATGAGTTTTATAAGGGCGCAATTGATTTGTTGCCGCATCGTTAGCAGAACTGCATCCAGACAGACGGAGAATTCAATTAATCTTATTCAATACTTTCGATTGCTTGGAAAAACAAATTTTTGAATTTTTTGGGTCGAGTTCGGAAACTTGGTTGTAGACCTAATACCGGCCTCAAATGTGTGACGCAGAGCACCTCTAACCCCTGCTTCACATGCGCTCTTTTGAACACCGACAGAAAGGAGCAGTATTCTAAGCCAGCTCAAAGGCAATCCTTGTTTTTTATGTTCTTATATGTTATGTATGAGACGCCGCATATATCTTCTAGACTCGGTCCCGATTATTTGCTCTAACTTAGAGCGTTGAAAAATCTCTAAAGACATGATGCAGTTAAGAATATCAGATGGCATAAATCGTTCACACAGCGTGCAAACAGGGAATCGTGTCAATACCTTAGCTGAAGTCCACGATGGCTTCAAATTTATACTTGTACTCTCCTCATACATGATGTTAGGACGTGAAACGTAACACTTGTCAACATATCATTGCCACAATCCTCCGGTTTTTAAGCCTCGTGCGATAAATTCCTTGCAGAGGTTGCTCTCGTTCGACTTTTTGATGGAAGAGCTTTATGCAATGATATAACGGACTTCGAACAAGGTTATTTTCATTAGGAACAACGTAGTATTCCACATATAATGCAAATCTATAAAGGGAAAACCAAATAATAAAAAGGCGATATTTGGAACCTTCAGCAAACATTTATATTTTATTTTATTTACACTTGTTCGCAGTTACTCTGAAAAATATCTTTACAAAAGCGCTTTCAATGATTAATTTAAATCTTTTTGGCCAAAGAGTTTATGAGAACCGAAATCTAACTACATAATCTCAAGAAACCCGCTTGAATTAGAAGATAAGGACTGCGATTGCAAAGCGTTATGTTTTAATTATTAGTAGACCGTACAATGGAGATCTTTATATATAACAAACTTATTATCAAAATCAAAATTTTCAAGTAATCTTTTAGCAATAAAACATCAAGAATATAAAAGACAATGTTCAATAACAGCTGGAAATACATTTATTTTCGCAAGGATGTGGCTTTTTTCCTTGAAAAGGCAAGATTTTGGTTTTCATCCTCGTTAATCTTGCTAAGATTTTTTATACAAAGCCTCATCAATGACATTATTTTTCTAGTGATGATATTTCTCTGAGAACCCAAACTTCTATTGGACCGCGCACCACTCTTCGTAAAAGTCCGAACGCGCGCTCGGTGAAGGTCATAATGACCCTCATCGTCCGCAAAGTGATATAGATGACAGTAATCTGCTCCACTTGAGAGAAATTGGACAGATTTTTTAAGTTGTTGATTGAACAGTCAGAGTATATAAGATTCACCCGTGAGATAGCGAAAGATATTTAGCCTTCTTTCTTGAACGCGCAAATGTACTTACACGATAAGGGCTGCATTGCGAAGTTGTACCGAAAGCCAGATAATAATGTCCTGATTCACTACTTCTCCTCTCATCCCTTACACAAAAAAAGGCGTTCATAAAAACATATTTCGATCAGTCGCCGGTGTACGTACTGGAGGAGAGCAGAGAGTAGATTGCGTGAAACTAGCTCGCGAAAAACCCATTTCTAATGGCTGCGAATTTATACTCCTCGGATTAAGTCTAGAGGAAACACAACGTTTTCAAACGAAAATTTCAACAAAAGCAGAGTTTTGTTTAACCTCCCTTTCTTTTCAAAAGGGAGATAGGTACAGCCATGACTTTTGAAAAGAGCAGGTGTAGCGAAATCTGTAATGATCATTGAAAAACGGCCGAATACTCCGAGGCGCTAATTCGTTTGTGACCGCTTATATGACCGTCTCCTTACAACGAATCAATTTCAGATATGCTCAAATGGCAGAGACAATGATTGCGTGAGTGTAGGCACAGTTTATCTAATGTCTTGCAAAGCATGTGGTGAAAAATATATTGACGAGACGGGTAGGACACTCTTTGTATGCATAGAAGAACATTTAGCTGACAAACGTAGCACTAAAGGAAATACTGTTGCTGAGGTGCATTACGAGTCCATGTGATCCCCTTCCGGTGATCTCCGCTTGAATTGGTGAGTGAAAAACATACAAAAGCAGTGAGCATCAAAATCTGAGTCTGATGATATTTTCTGAAGGAGTACTGGAGGTGTTTAACTGATCGAATTGTGAACATCGTGATTTTTCCAGGCCTTGAAGAAGGGGAGACTGCCGAAACGTCGGCTGTTTGATTTATAATTCATAACACCTCGTGTCTGGCTTGAGAAAAAGGTAGAAAAATCCTAAAGCATGACGCGGATTATAGATAGTCGGTTTTGGGATTTGTGAACATTTTTTTAGTAAATTTCATTGTTTCTCGTACTTGTTTTCTTGTGTAAACTAAACTTGTCCTGATGATTTATTGTTATTAAGTGTAGATTTTGTAAAGAAATCAATAAATCTTTGGAATTGGATAACCAAATATCAAGTAGTCATAGTAGAACATTTTCACCAGTAGCTCCATAAGGTATGGTGAGGATCGAAGCTGATTTTCGTATAGGACCCGTTCATGAGTGTTGTAGGTCTCGTGAGCTGTACGTTTGCGTAAAACCTGAAGTAATGATTTTTCGACATTTCAGAATAAATTCTCAATCTACCCGCAAACGTCAGCCTTTTCTCAGCATCATAATCTATTGGCGTAAACATCTCAGTGACTAGTCTGTGAATACATTAGGTTGGAAAGATAATTTATCATCGTTTGGATGAGAAGTCGTTTGCTCGCATAAATCGTGTGTAATTTTCATGTCGTTTGAAAGATCTACTTCTTGCGCATCTACTGATATATAATGTGTCTATCTGCTGCAGAATGAAATTGTCCAGGGCGAGAGGTACCCAGAACTTGTAGGAATTGGATGGAGTTGAGATTCTACCGCATGCACCTTATAGTCCGGACGTTGCTCCAGCTGATAACGGCTTTTTGCGATGAATGCAACACTTTTTGGAAAGTCGCCAGTTTGAATCTTTCGGTGAAGCTAAAGAAGCATGTCAAGAGTTATTTAATTCAAAGCCGAAGCAGTGGTACTTCGATCAGATCCGAATCCTGGCGGACCGATGGCAAAAAGTGGTGGATAATGATGACCTTTATTTTGGAAACTAGTTGTTGTTGTTTGCTGTCTGAATATATGCGTAAATTCTGAACGTTTTATCAAACGATAAAAAATTTCTTTTCAGCCTAGTAAGAATAAAGGTGGATAAATCATGTGACTAGCAACTGCGGCTTTTTTCCACTAAAAATTCAACTCTCTCTCTCTCTTTCTGTCTTTACATATGCGCATATAAACTTTATGCATATATAGACAAGGGTACTCTTATTATCACTACTTGGGCAATTATCTTTTGATTTCGCCTGCCGAATAATGGGATGTTCCTCTATAATGGGAGGAATTTTCTACTTCACAGTAGTAGTGAATATATTGAAGCTTACACATGTCGAAACCACTTATGAAATATTTTAGTTCTGAATAGCTCTATTTTATCAGTCTTCATCCGTCCACTCCGCAAGAGGAATCGTATGATTGACTGTCACTTTTCCATCGCCTGTGACATCGGTAGTGTCGCTGATGGCCAAGTGGCTTGAATGGGGACCAGCAAATCTTCGATTCTTCCCTTTCGCGTGCATGAGTTGCCCAGTGAGTTCTCCTCATCATAGGAATTTGCTGAGTATCATACCTTTCTTCCAGGCTTTTCGTGACGAAAGCGAGCAACTGGATCGGTGGTCTTAATGCTACGCATTCAACATCCTGAGTTGTAACGGCATTCATTCATCGATTGTCGTGTCCGGTCCATCTCAACTTCGATAGACTGACCTGCAAGACGGCG